CCAGAATAGTCAGATTTCATCTCCTTCACATCAATTCCAGCAATAAGAAGACCATAGGTCTCAATTAGAAATAAATGGCCTCCATCAATTCAAATGTTAAAAACTTTTTCAAACAAATGTCAAAAATGCATATTACAATAGTGTTGTATAGGAAGAAGTGAACATGTTACCTCCACCTTAACTATTTTCATCCCCCTTGTAAAATTTGCAAGCTTCAACAAGTCTTATATGATTTGAAACAAACACCAACAGCCTGGCTTGAAAATTTTAATTCCATTATGTTCAATTTGATTTTACCTCTAGCTCTCATGATTTTTCATTATTTATTCAACACATTTATCATGACATTGTTGTTCTTTTTCTTTATGTGGATGATATGATTACAATTGGTGATATTAAGACTTGTATTGCAAAATTATACAACAGTATCTAAGTTAACAGTTTGAAATGAATAATCTTAACTATTTTACTTATTTTTGGGGGTTTGAAGTCTACTAAAAACTCTAATGGTTACTACCTCTCTTAAGTTAAGCATCTATCTCATTTGTTTTCTTGGGCTGGTATTAATAACAGTAAAACTATTAGACCTATATCAAAACAGGTTCCATTTAAAAATTGAAATTCCTAGACTTAACCTAGGCTCGACCTATATTAAAACAGGTTTGACTTTAAATTCACTAATTCCAACTTAATTGGATTAACATCATTTGTAGACTCATGTCCTTTTTTCGTTGGTTGTTTTATGAAAATGAAATATTTAAATCCTTCCATAAGAGTTTTACAACCTCAACACTTTAGGTTAGGTGAATTTCCATTTTTAAAGCTTAGAGCATGCTTTAATTTTGATTTTTGTTTTGAAAATGATCACGTGCATGGTTAGGCATGTACGCATGATTGAAATGACAGAATGCTTTCATGTTTATGATTCATTAAGGTGCCTTGACCCTTCTCTCACTTTATCCAACCTTTCCATTACAACTTTCGCCCACCTTTGCTTGTGCCTTTTTTCATTGGTTGAAATTCGTAATTTCCCTCAAGCGCGCTTTCCTTTAACATCTGACCTTTTTCATGTTGAGGCTCTCTTTTCTTTTTACCTCATCATTAAGTCTTTT